GTTTGAACATGTCGCGGCGGCTGAATCGAGCAACCGAGCGGGAACCCCGAGCGGGTTTCCGAGCTGAGAGGAGAGACTGTGGTGCCTCGGTACCCCAGGGACTGTTAAAGGCGGCGAGGAAGAGCGGCCAGTTAAACCTGTCGGGCCGCAACCTCAGTGAAGGTAAGATCCAGAGGTACGCCCCTGATTGTGCGTCCTGTCAGAAAGCACTTGCCCTGGGTAGCCTCCCTTTCCTCTGGCTTTGGCCACCTTTGCCCCAGGCTGCTAGCCCGGATCGCGTGCTCAGACTCAGGCACTCATCACACTTGCACTGCGTCGGCCAGCTGGTTTGGTTCCTACTTTCGCTCCCGGAATCTTTGATGCAGGGACTGTGCTAGGAATATAGCCAAAATTTAAACGGGACACTTTCTGGATTTCCACATTCTGGGATTTCCACATTCTATGGTATAAACAACAAATGAAGGGCAAATGCCTTTCTTTGGCCCTCTGTTCCCCCTCTTAGTTTAATCTCTTCGGGCACTTATCAACGCTAAAATTCTGTATTTTATCTGCTCCTTTGTGAATTTAGAGTGAATGCCGCTGTTCGCTGTCAAGACTCTTTTCTGTTTGCAGCTGGACAGAATCCTAAATACAAGGAGTAATGATCATATTTCCTAAATTCAGGGTCAAGGTAGAGATCATACAATGAATTTGGGACCATCTTGAAAAATCTAGCGAGATCAAAATCAACAATCTGGATACCATGAATGAATAATTGTCAGATGCTCTTCCAGTTATCTGTTGTGCAATGGAGGGCGTGTCAAGCAGGGGAGAGAGAGAGACTATGCCATTCTTCCTGTAATGTTTTCCTCTACTTATATTCAGGTTTTAAGCTATATGGGATTAAAAGTTTCCATTACCTTCTAAGGATTGCTTTTTTATTGTGCTATGTATAAAATTGACCATGCAAACAAATACTGATTGAATGAATGAAAGGATATATGATAAAAATCTCTGCTCTACCTGGAAAAGCTTTTAATCAGTGAGAATGTATATATACACTTACTTTTCCCAAAGCCTGGAACTCGTTATCTGATACCTGATTAAGTTTCACTCCTTACTTCCTGTTGGACTCTGCTCAGGTAGGCCCTTCCTAACTACCTATGTAAATACCATTGTGAATATTGTATTCTCTAACCTGTTTTTTAATTGTTTTGTTCATTGTTATATCCCTAGCATTCAAAATGTGTTTGGTACATAGTAGATTCTTATTAAACATTTGTGGAAGGCATAAGTAAATGAATATTCCCAGATACTAAGTGGGTGCTGGAATGTACTTAATGATTGGACCTGTTGGTTTAGTCTATTAAAGTTTCAGGGAGCAAATGAATTTTGACTCTTAACTCCATGATCACGTGGATTAGGGCTGTTTAGGTTATTATTGTATAAACAGAGCCTAATACATTATCTGGTACATACTAGGTACTCAGTAAATGATGTCAAAGGAGAGAAAAGATGTAAACGGGAGAGACACATGATATTTATATGGTATTTATACCTTATATCTCAAAAAGGAATCCTTGTTACCATAAGATAAAAGTTTTTTTTTAATCTAATTGTAACCTTCAATTTCATCTGTCACTCAGCCTTTGAAATTCAAACCGCTGTAGTTCTGAACTATTCACATAGTCCATTATGGCGGTCATGCTTCTTATCTCCATATCTTTGCTCATGTAACTTTGAGATGCTTACCGTCCTGTATTTTATTTTCTCATTTAAAACGTGATAATAATAATAGGATCTACTAAGGTCTAAATGAGATAATACACATAAAATGCTTGGTACATAAAAAATACACAGTAAATATTGGCTATTGCTTTATCGCAGTAGCTTCCTAAGTGGTTTCTTGGATTTCTTGTTTTAAATCTCACCCTTTAAATCAATGTTGCTATCAAAAATTATCTTTCCAAAACATAGATCTTATAATGTCACTCACATTTAACGATTCTCCATAGCCCACAAGATTCAGTATAAAGTTCTTAGTACAACATACAAAAGCTTTTTGAAATTTTCCCCCAAGTGTCTACAATAAGGCCTCCCGTCTCTTTTCGGAATCCCATGGTTTAACAACAATGACAATAAGAAAAAATTGTCTTTCCCCCAAACAAGCAAACTTAAAATCTTTTTAGAACAGTTTTAGGTTTACAGAAAATTGAACAGATAGTACAGAGTTCTCATATACCCCCCTCCCTAGCTTATATTTTTCCCTATTATTAACATCTTGCATTATGTGGTACATTTTTTACAACTGATTAACCAATATTGATACATTGTTATTAATTAAAGTCCATTTTTTTACATTACTGATCACTTATAGTCTTATACAGTTTGCTGAGTTTTGACAAATACATAATGACATGTATCCACCATTACAGTATCGTATAGAATATTTTCTATGCCTTAAAAATCACCTGAGCTCTACCTATTTATTCCTTACCCTGTTCCTCCTGAAGTCCTGGCTGCCACTCATCTTTTTACTCTTTCTGTAGTTTTGCCATTTCCAACATGTCATATAATTGGAGTAGCTTTATCACTGAATAATATTCCATGGTATGAATGTACCATTTTATTTCTCTATTTACCTTTCAAAGGAGATCTTGGTTGTTGCCAGTTTTTGGCAGTATGAATGAAGCTGCTGTTCGTTTTCAGGTTTTTGTGTGGACATAAGTTTTCAATTCATTTGGGTAAAAATCTAGTAGTGCCTTTTTTTTTTTGCTTTTAGAAACTTTGTGGATTTTTCCCCCCTAAATATTTTTGATCTGCAGTCAGTTGGATCTGCAGATGCAGAACCCAAGGATACAGAGGGCTGACTGTATACTCCAAGTCTTTCTTTCCTCCTTCATATTTTACTATCATATAAATGTATTTGTAAAGTGTAGTCATGTCCATTATTTCTACACTGGAAAAATAGAACCTTGCCTTTAATTTTGACGTATATAACAAGAAACAGTTAAAATTCTGTTGATTCTTATTCTTGAATGATTGCCTCCTGCAATGGATTCTTAACGTTGTCACTTCTAAAAGCAGTGAGATGTTTTATTAACCAGATGGGGTTGTTAACTGGTAACCAGTGCAGATTAATTTTTATTATAACTGAAATCTGTGTACTCTTGAGGGTTTTTAGATGCTTTCTTTTCTAGTTACTTTGTGAAGGAACTAGGTCCTAGTTCTTTTGTGAAAATACTATTTATTTTTTTCCTCATTATAAAACCTTTATGTCTACTCTAGGAAAAGTAGAATCTATAGAAAGCATAAAAAATTAAAGTAACTATCCAAGGTTATCACTATTGATATTTTGTAGGTTTTTTAATCGGTTTTTTTTTGGTTTGTGAATATGTACATTTATTTGCCTTCTGTTTTTTATTTTTAACAAATTTGGAATTGTACTGAGTCCTTTTTAGGCTTCTATTTGTACATCTTTAAAGGTCACTTGAAAAATCTGATTATTTTTAATGACTCTTTAATAGTCTGTCTTATGAATACTGTAATTTACTTAAATATCCAAATATTGTTGGCTGTTTTAAAGTCATCATTCTGAGTTTCAGTTCCATAACTTACTTAGAAAGGTATACCTAAACAAAATAATTAATAATAACCAACTTCAAAGAAGAATATTAGAAATATTCTGGAAATTTTTAAGTGGCAGCTCTTTTTATGAGCAACAACATGGGGATATATCATTGTTTGTTCAACATAGATATTGCAGCTCTTTTTCATTGCACCAGATAAAATGAAAGTAGAATTGAAGACGGAGTATTGATTGTTGCCTTGTGCTTGCATGATCATGGCAGTACGGTCATGTAGGAATGTTTTGCGGTGATTCATCAAAAAAATGAGTGAGAGTAAGAGATACCAGAGTTCGGAACAAAAGTATACTGTAAAATTCTAAAGGAAACCACATTGTTGACTGACAGGAAAATTGGTAAGTGGTTAATTTATTAAATAAGCCAATTAATTTGGTTTGAAAACCATATTATTTGGAAAAGAATTATGTGTGTAAGGCTATCCTTCCTTATCTTGAAGAGAGCAGTTTGGTTAGTTTCCATTTATGGAATTAAGTAAATAGGTCTAGGACTCCTAGCCCTCAAGATGTCATGTTGTCTGTTGTAGGATAATGAGAATTTGCAATATTCTGTATATACAGTTTGTTGTGACAGGATAAAAAGTGTAACATAAACTATGTATTTACCAAGATTTTAAATAACCATCCTTATACCTATATTAACCATGTTCTGCTTTACTATTTAGCTTAACTCTGTGTTTTGACTCCTACTTGTCTTAGTGCAATTTACTGTCATATTCTAAACAGCTAATAAGAATTAACCAGTGTCCAGATTTTAATAACAAATAATTTCAGAAAGAAACTGGGTTTCCAGATAAGTAGACCATCAAAACAAGCCTACCTCTTAAACAGTTCTTAGGAATGAAAGCACGAGGAACACACCTTAATCCATAGGTAATGGCAGAATCTTGAGGTAAACACTTAATTTTTAGTATGCTGAAATCCAGGGAAGTCTACTTGTTCGTATTATAAAACAAGGAACTAAGTGGTTAATTGAAAATCCCATTCCTATTTCTTAATCTTTAAAATTGTTCTAAATATTAGTGTTTAATTTAATTGAGGTGTGTATCTCAAGGTATTACCTATGCCAAAGTTTGTTTAATAAATTAGTGCAAATTTAAACTTATCCCTATATTAATATCATGTTCACTCACTTGCATTTTAATATGTTTTCTTGAGTAGGAGAGAAAAAATACAGAGTGGGAAAAATGGAATTATAGTTTCAGTGAGGTTTATCTTCACTATAAAACTGAATGTACCCTCAAGTTAAAGTAATAAATTCAAGAACAATTTTCTCTTAAAGTGATTGGTAAACATGTTTCCTTTTTTATGTGTTTAACATTATTTCTTTTTTTCTGCAGTATCCTGGACTTCAGGAAGAATAGTTAGTTCTTTTCATGCATTCTAACATAACATAGCAATAGTTATCTAAAATCTAACATTAACATCTAGCATAATATCTAACATCTAACATCTGACATCACAATGGTTCAAGTGTTCTAAACCACAAAGGTACATCTCTTTGAATCAACCTAAAGCTGCAACTGAGTTAATGCCTTCT